GTGACCCTACATCCAAAAATCTTGACCAGCTTGCTCTGTGAAGGTACTTGGGAAGCATGAAAACATTCCAGGGATGGGGAATTGAGTAAAAGTCACCATCCCTGCCTTCCCACTAAAGAGAGTAGCAAAGGGACTGGAGCACATCCAGGTGCAAAAGTGATGCCTCTTCTGTGCTCTGGAAAGTGGGGGGCAATTGTTCCCCCTAGACCATCCTGGGGGTATGGGGTCAACTGTTAGGACAAGAGACTCCCCCCCCCCCAGCTTCTCACCCACACAAAGGGTACAGTTTGGCCTTCCCTCCTTTGTTTTTTAGAGCAGTGCTTTTCAAACGCTGAAACAATGTACATGGCGCATGGTGGTTGGTGGAGCACGTGGCTCTTTATCTCCAGGTTCTGAGTTCAAACCTCACGTTGGGTATAGAGATCACTTAAAAATAAAATCTTAAAAAACAATAATGAAGGGGCACCTGGGTGGCTCAGTCGGTTGGGTGTCTGACTTTGGCTCAGGTCATGATCTCACGGTTCGTGGGTTCGAGCCCCGCGTTGGGCTCTGTGCTGACAGCTAGCTCAGAGCCTGGAGCCTGTCTTTGGATTCTGTGTCTCCCTCTCTCTCTGACTCTCCCCTGCTCATTTCTCATCTCAATTCATTACTCTGATGAGTGTTTACATACATATCCTTCTTTTTAATTCTTTTAAAATAATTTAAATTTATTTTTCAGAGAGACACAGACTGTGAGTGGGGGAGGGTCAGAGAGAGAAGGAGACACAGAATCTGAAGCAGGCTCCAGGCTCTGAGCTTTCAGCACAGAACCTGATGTGGGGCTCGAACTCAGACCTGAGCTGAAGTCGGATGCTTAACTGACTGAGCCACCCCAGCGCCTCTACATGCAAATCCTGAAACAAAAGTTTTATGTAACTAGACATTCCTTTTTATACATGTAACCTGTGCTTATGTCCTTCCATTCTTTTCTATCTCTTTTTTTAAAAAATGTGGGGTGCAATCCACTAAATTGATTTCACGATCGGCTGATGGGTCTCAACCCACAATCGAAAGAGGAGTGGGTTCTTCACTCAGCTGGGTCTTCAGGTCCTGACAGCTGGAATTTGGCCCCGGCTTTCCTGGTGAGTTCCTTCCCTCCATGTTCTTATGAATACCCCCTGTACCAGAAATAGAGTCCCCAGAGTCCCCCACCATCATTGGGCTAGCAGATCTCTTCCAATCAGACTTCTTATGATACCCCCAGCCCCTGTTCCTGGCAGACCATCTGAGATATGGGTAATGTCCCCAAAGGAGGGCCACCGGTTTCCTTATCTGGTGGGCTGCTTTCAGCTGCAAGATTACTGCCAAGAAGAAAAGACTTAACTCAAGCAACTTAGACTATAAGGGGTTAATAAAATCACACACCGGGAAGCCCAGAGGTAGGTGGCCCCAGAGCTGTGAATAATGAAGTGATCACATGGCCTTCTGTTTATTTCCTCGTTGCTACCCATCAGCGTTTGGAAATGCCTTTCTCTACCTTGGTCCCCGTGTGACAAGAGTACTATGTGAAGGGGCTTTTGTGGGCAGCAGGAGAAGGGGAGGGTGGGGCCTGGGTTCCAGCTGGCTGGGTGAGCGAGTGAGTCACTGAGTGGCTGGGCCCCTTCAGCCCCATGTAAGGACAGACTGCAGCCGCCCACTGCCCGCCTGGACTGTGTCTGGACAGAAATGGGCATGTCTGCTTTGCAAGGGGCCCCACCTCGTGCTCGGATCACCCTGTGAATCAGGAAGGCCAGAGATGCTTATCATCCCTTTTTTCTCCACGAGTCACAGGCCCCAAAAGTGGAAATGACTCCCGGCTTCACCTACATACAGATCCAGGCGGGAGCAGAGCAGAGGACCCAGTGTTCTGTCTCCAGCTCAGTGCTAGATGGCCTGGAGGGGGAGTGAAAGAAGCTCTCTAGCGCCCCCTTCTACTTTGGACTTACATCTTAAGTCCTGTCTTCAGCCCTCAGAGCCCTCATGCTGGCTCTTTCTGCTCACCTGCCCCTGGTCTGCTGGTTTTCCCAGGGAGAGCTGGAGACAGGGCTGGGGCAGGGCACGGAACTGGTGGGGTCTCCACTGAGGTCTAGGTCTTTGGTAGCCCCCCGATAGCACAGACCTAGCCTTGATTCAGGTCTAGTAGCCCCTCGGACTGTGTGTGAGCCAGAAGGAACCCAAGAGCAATGTCCATTTTATAGATGTGGACTCTCAGGCTCAGAGAGGGGTAGTGACTTGCCCAAGGCCACACAGCTGGTTAGAACTGGGGCCTCCTGCCCTCCAAGCTCCTGCTCTCACTGCTCCCACCTGCCTGGATCCCTGATTTGCTTTCTAGTTGGCTCCACCTCCTACTTTCTGAAGCCAGGACCAAGGGGAGGCAGCACCTTTGAAGTGGGGGGGGCTGACTTATCAAGCTCCCCTGCCAGTCAGGGAAGGTCTCGGTCTCTTTCCCAAGGCCATTTACATCTCCTGCTCGACACAGCAAAAAGCTGGAGTGACAATCCACACTGCAGGCCTCGAGACGATAAATACTAACCCTTCTGAAAAAAAGCCCTACTTTCAACGAAGGGGAACAAGGCTTGGCAGGCTCCGGGAAGAATTTGCTCCAGGAGCTGGCATTCGGGAAGGCTTGGTGCCAATCTGTGTGGGAGCCCTGCCTGCGGGCAGAGAGGGAGGGCCCACCGGGGCGTGCGCTGGTGCAGACGTGTGTGCAGGAAGAGGCAGGGTGGTGCAGACATCCAGGGAGTCCCGGGCCAGGAGCTGGAACGCCGGGGTTCTCTCCGCCACGTGGGAGCCCTGTGACCTTGTAGCTCAACCTCCTAAAGCTTCAATTTGCCCAGCTGCAAAATGGGGATGCTAAGAACCTCCCTCAACGGTTAAGAAGATGCAAACAAACCGAAGTGTGGAGGCCCCAGGGACGAAGCAGGAGGTTGTTCTGGGGTTGAGGCTGGAGGAGCGGCCTTGCCCTCCTTGGGCCCTCGCTGGAGCGGTAGGTGCCAGGCAGTGCTCCGTCTGGGGAAGGCCAGGGTGCAGTGGCTTGGAGCCCCTCTCCTCTGACTTTCTCCCCTACGTCCCTGGCGCCCGAGGCAGTACTAAATCAGGTCACCACTCGTCTTGCCTTGCAGGAGCTGCCGTGCAGACAGCTCCTGCCCAGCTCCCAATCCAGGTCACTGGCTCCCATGCCCCTCCCTTCCCTAGCACCCGAGGAGCCGGCGCTCAATGCTTTTGTTCTTAAGTGCTGCTCATTAGATCCTGGCTGTGTGCCTGCCATCGGGGCCCATTGCTTTAAGGAGAAATAACAGGCCCCCTTTGGGGCAAGCGCTATCATGAGATTCTCTCTCATAGGGAGATAGGATCCCTTCGATTTGATAAGCGAAGAAACTGAGGCTCAGAAAGGTAAGTATCTCAGTCAAGGTCACTCAGCTGGCAAGGGCAGGACGAGATTGAAACCTAGATCTGTCTGATTCCCAGGCTTGTGCTTTTAATCCCCGAGGTCCTGTGCTTAGAAGGCAAGAGACAGGGGGTGCAGACAGGAGCTGGGGGGCCTAGGGAGGAAAAGTGGGGGTCACTGTGAGAGTAGGGTGAGATCTGAGGGGCGCCTGTAGGGCCGAGGGAGAGGAGGGAAAGGCCTGCGGTGTGATGGGGAAGCACACACACACTCACCCAGACACACATATCACACATGCACACACAGACACATAAACACCCAGACACATACACACATGCACACACTCAGGAAAGAGGCTGACAGACACCCAAAGGCCCCCAGGACAGGCACACACATGAAAACACACATAAAAAACACACACAAGAGACTCAGCTGCACACAAAAGACACACATAGATGAGAAATGCACTCATGTTGATACACATCAGAGACACACACAGACCCAGTAACACTCAGACACACTCATCCACCTACGTGCGCGCACACACACACACACACGCACGCACACACAATCAAAGGGAGGGAAGAGCCGGGGAGCCTCCTTTCCCGGCCTCCTCCTCTAAGGCAAAGGGAAAAGCCTTCCCCAGAAGTGCTGAGTCAGCAGCGGGTGACAAATGAGCCTGGGGTGGCGGGCTTAGCGAGAGCACTTAGCATACGGAGCGCCTGCGTGCCAGCGCCAGTCCCGGGCCAGTGGTGAGGGGGCAGGGAGCGGCCACAGGCTGCCCGCCTGGGGGAGGCCCCAGGGAGGAAGTGACTCACTTTGACTTTGCAAAGCCGGACTTTGCAGCCCAAGGTCACACAGCAGGCGCTGCCAGCCGGCTTCCTGCAGGGTGTGGGGTGGGCTGGCTGGTGCCGGGCTGGGACTCAGCCTGGGAGAGGCTGGATGTGGGTGGGACACAGGCAGGGGGCTGGCCCTCCCCGTCCTCTGGGCTCCACAGGGGAGACAATAGAGCCCCGAAGAGAGGACTCTGAGCTCTGCAGGTCTTCTCAGAAGTGCCCAAGTCTCACTCCGGGCCTGAGTCTGGGAAATCTTTGGGGGCCTTCATGAACACTCTTCTTTGCTCACTAACGTCCACACCGGAATCTAGGGATTGTGGACATCACAGCGGGCCTGGGTGGGGGCTGCCACCCCCTGGCCGCGCTCCTCTGCCCACTTTCCTCTGTAATTTATTCTTCAGGAAGCAGCCAGCAAGGCCTTTTCAAGACATCAATCACATGATTTCCTCCAGTGGCTCCATTGCACTTAAAATAAATTCAAACCCTCGTCGTTGGCAATGTCTTTCAAATGGGCCGCTCTTGACCGAGGAAGGAGGAACTGTTACAAATGACATTAGGATGACATGGGACCTGGGACTGTCCCTGGCACCAAGCCCTACCCTGGACTTCTTCCCACCTCCTTTGTCCTCACCCCCATTTCTGCGTGACTGGCCCCAATCTTAGCAGAAATGAGATAAACTCTCACCTCCTCGGTGAGATCCGTCCCTGACATCCTACTGCCAGTCCTCCATGCAATTACTCAGCGTTCCTTTATAGCGTTATCGCTTTCTGGGCTTATCTTTTTTATTTGTTTACTTCTTTTATGTCTGTCCCCGCCCCTTCCTCCATAAAGTTCATGACAGCAAAGATTTTTTTCTGTCTTGTGTGACCCTGCCACGTCCCTAGTACCTAGAACAGCGCCTGGGACACAGTGGTGTCCAGGAACATTTACTACGTGAGAGCACAGCCGAGGGGCAGGCCCGGAAGGGAGTGAAGGATTTCCCTCGGGGAGACCTGGGCAGGGAGGGACAGGGCCTGCGGGGGAGGACGTGTGTGCAGGGCTTGTGGATAGGTGCCGAAGTTGGGGTAGCCACCAGCCCCGAAACTGGTGAGAAGGCTTTGGAGTAACCCGGGCCTGGCTAATAATTCCCATTCTCTCAGTTGCTAGCTCTGTGTCTTTAGGCCAGTTATTTGCTATTTGAAAATAAGAATGAAAACCAGCCTCTCTTCCAGATTGTTGAAGGCCCTGGGTCCCCTCCCAGAAGTCATTTTCTCTCCATGCCAGCTCCTAACACACGCGGCCGTGCCAGCGAATCCAGGAATGAAGAACACCGTTCCTTAGGAGTGTCTTGAAGGTGACAGCCACGTTTCTATTCCAGGTCCTGCCACACCCATGCCTCAGTTTCCCCCTCGTGGACAGGGATGGAACAGGGCTCTCCTGCTCAAAGGTGGACCTCTGGGGGCAGTGAGGAAGCCTGGCAAGATAGAAACGCTACACAGTGCTCGCATCCTGGCTCTGTGCCTTTGGTCTCCTCTAAACTGGTGGACTTCTTTTTTCTTTTGTTTGTTAACTCCTGTCTTGTGCATCGCCCCGCCCCTGCCTCCGTCCCAGAAGGAGGATCCAGCGAAAGGATAATCGTGAGGATGCTTTGGAGAGTCTTCCTGCTGGAGGAATGTAAGGGAGTATCGTTAGCTGAGGTTTACTCACAGGGACGTGGGGCACAAGAAGCTGCCGAACTCCCTTTCTCCCCATGCCCGGGGTCGGGTTTTCTGACGCCAGCCCCCCGCTCCATCTCCATGAGCTGATGGAGCAGCTTCTGGCCCGGCTGTTTCTGCTCCGGTGGAGAAAATGGAAAGTGAAAGTGACCCCGGGGAGCCTGCAGACTGCCAGCTGTCTGCACAGGGACCCCAGGCAGGAAGGGCCTCTATTTGTCCCCAGGGCCCCTACCCTGCACTGCTTACATAGCCTGGGGTCCTTCCTGTCTTGCAGTCCTGGGCAGAGCGGGCTGCCTGAGTTGCAGGAGGGTGGGTGGCCTGAGGCTAGACTGTTCCCAGGACTCTGTCCTGACTCAACCTCCCTTGCAGGTAAGAGGAGGGAAGAGAAGGTCTGGCGGCCAGTGGCTGTCCCCGTAGGATGGATCAGCAGCTGGAATGGCCGGCTGTGGCTCAGGATGCTGCCTCCCAAGGTTCCCTCTGCGGGCTCCCAACAGGGCTTCCCAGGGTGTGACTGGAAGGCCCAAGGTACGGGTGTGGGTGGAGGAAAGCGAAAGGAATAAGACAATAGCATCGGCCAACCTCAAGCGCTAACCACAGGCCAGGCCCTGTGCCAGGTGCTTTGACCACCTGGTACAGTCTGGGTGCCTCAGAGTCGGCCTCTGAAAAATCCTGTGCTGTTGGCTTGTTTATGTCCATCCATCCACGTATTCCATACATAAGTTTTGAATACCCTCTGTGTGCAGGCACTGTTCTAGACACAGGGCCCACAACCATGGAAACAGACCAAAAAAACAAAAATCCTTGTCTTCATGGAGGTTACATTCTAGTAAAGCAAAAATAGTCCACAACCAAAGGAAAAAAAAAAAGGGTGAACCGGTCTGACAAAGAAGGAAAGCAGGATGATCTTCACGAAAGTCAAGGCCATGGGTACAATGTAATCATCCTATAAAAGACAAAGAAATCAAGCCCCAAGGATGAGTCCAAGGTCAAATGGCTGGGAAGTGGAGGAACTGAAGTCTGAGCTCAGGCTCTGTCTCGCCTTGTAACCACCACACGCTATTGGGCACTAAGAGAAAGAGAAGACAGAATGGAAGGGAAGAGGAAAATAAAGGGCGTATGGGAGCCTTACAATGGTGGCCATCTGTTTTCCAAACTGAAAATCAGGACGCGACCTGAAAAGATTTTCCTGTTGCTCATAATGAGAGTGGCCGTCTGGGAGAGGCAGTTTGGATGCTAGCCTGAAGGGCGGGATTTCTGAGACATTCCAGTGGCTTTTGGGCTCACGAGGCAGTCCAGGGGTAGGGCATTGCCATGGCAACCCCGGCCTTGCCTGGGGGCCAAGAGCCTGGTGCCGGGCCACATGGCAGAGAAGCCACGCTGGGCACCAGCCCAAGACGCTGCAGGCCAAGGGGGAGGCCAATGCCGAGGAGGTGGTGGAAAGGGGAGAGGGGTCCCACCGCAGCCCTCACCTTGCACCAGTTGGGAGAGTGGGCTGGTGGGCTGGCCGATTCCCGATTCCCGGAAGCCCCCTGGCAGGAGTCTGTGGGGCTTATGGGGCAAGAACCCAGGCTTTCCTGTTAGACAAGTCTGAGTTGAATCCTCCCGCTGTACTAGGCAAGTCGCAGAACTTCGATGAGCTTGCTTCTCCATCTGTAAAATGGGGAGAATAGCAGGTCTCATAGGATAGGTGCAAGGGTGATCACATATTGAGATAATGCGCGAACTGCGGTTGGCACATTGCAGATTCAATACATGATTACTGCGGTCTCCCTCCACTCAGTAGGGCGCTGGGGGCATGCCAACATGGTAAGCCGGGTGGGAAACGGATGACCCAGTCAACCAGGGCGGTTGCAGATTCCCAGCCAAGCCCTGCACGTGGGCTGGGGCTTGGTCCCAAACAGCCCTGCCCGCAGCGCAAGCCCTGCCGGTTCCCTCCATGCTGCAGCCCTAGGGCCTGCCCACCTCTGCATCCTGGGGGCTCCGGGGCCTGCGGACCCTCTGTGCAGGTGGGCTTCAAGGTACCCCCGAGGTGGAACAGAGGCATTCCCATGGTTCTCGCCAGGTGACACCTTCCTTTCTGCCTCCCCCCCCCCCCCCCATCAGCCTTGGCCTTGGAGCAAACCCACTGTTGCTTCTGGAAGACTGTCCTTAAAGAAAGGAAAGAACCCGAAAGAACTTCAAAGGCCTTTGCACCCACCCATTACCTCCTCCATTGGCTGAGCTGGGCCCCTCTGGCCATGGCTATGTAAGAGTCAAGGACAGCTGGAATCCACCCAGTGTTTACCAATAACTCACCACTGTGAGACCTTGAGCATCCCTCTCAGGGTCCCCCTTCTTTCATTTGTAGAGTAGGGGGCTTAGACCAGACCATCTCTAAAGTCTAGTTGTGACACCCAAGTGATGACATTCATCCATTCTTTCATCCGTGTGCTCCCCCATTCATGGCTCTCACTGCTTTGACCTAGGATCCGTTCTGTTTGTCTGTTGGCTGCCTTCCTCCATGTGTCAGCTCCATGAGGCCCGACAGGACGGCGTGGCAGATAGCAGGACCTGGCATTTGTCCGTGTCCCGGAAGGGAACAGGCCGATCTAGGGAAGTTGAATGAGAGCATCACTTCTAAGTTGTAGACGGGGTACAGAGAGTTAACAAGGGGTGGTGAAGCCTCCCTGGGCTAACAGCAGGGTAGGGGCTGGGCCTGAGGGAGCGTGGCCCCACTGAGCCATAGGATAGGATAACAGGACAGGAGCTGTGGCCTTTGGTGGAAGAAAGCAGCCACGGCCAACCCATGGTTCCAAGTGGGTGGGGAATAAAGACCCCCATGTCTGTCCCCTACATCTTACCTCCTGCTGCATCTTCCCATTGGCTGAAATCCTCCAGAAGCCAGACAGTAAAAGTGCTGTGTGACACTGTCCTGCAGAGGTCAGGCTCCAGGGCACAGAAAGGGTGGACTGTGACCTGAAGGGGGAGGGTGGGAACGTGGAACGTTCGGCACAGCACGCACTGGACATGCACTGAGCACTTGCTCTGTGTCAGAGTCTGTCCACCAGAGACCAACATGTGACATAAGGTTTACAGAGAGCAAGGTCTCTACCCTCCCGGAGGTACAAACATGCCCCGGGGGATCTTGAAGAGCCTCTCTTCCCTCTGCCTGGAGGTGTCCTCTCTAGATGTATTGGGGGCAGGAAGTAGTTAAATCAGTCTGATTTGCAAAATCACACTGACAAATGGAAAGGAAGGTGCTGCAGAGTGAGGGGAGGGATGGGGGAGGGGGAGGGGTCTGGAGGGCCTGGGATGGGAACTGGTGTTGCAGAGCTGCTCCGTGAACCAGCCTGAACCAGCCGGAAAGGTGACCTTGAACTGTGGTTTAGGCTCCAGAGTTTGAAGGGTTCAAATCCCACCCCTGCACTCATTTGCTGTGTGACCTTAGCCCTGTTCCTGGCCATCCCTGATTCTGTTTCCTCGGCTCTACAAAGGGGGATATACATAGGGCACAGGAGGATTGTTTGGTGAGGATTAAACAAGAATCTGTGCAAAGGGCTTCCTTCACACAGTGTCTGGGCACATGGCGAACACCGTTATTATAATTAGAGACAAGGGTCCCCCCACCCCCCACCATCCCATTTCTCACAACAAGGGATCTCCACTCCCTCTCCGGCTCCATTTAAATCTGAATGTTTTAGGTCATTCTATGCCTGGCGTTCTGCCAAGGCTCTGACAAAGACAGGAGTTTCTGCTCATTCATCCTAATGCAAGTTCCTGCGTTTATGATAATAGGGGAAAAAATGCATGAAAGGGCTCGCTGCCTGTGGAGGGGAAATCTGCTTAGAATTGAAAATCTGAGTCCTTCCTTGGCCCAGCTTTCCCCCTCCCAGCGCTTTGGCAAAGGGTACAGAGGGGAGGGGGGCTGGGAAGAAGAGCTGGGGAGAAGAGGGGAGGAAGAGCTGGCCAAAGAGGCCCGAGGGCGGTGGGGGCAGGGGCAAGGCCCTGGCTCACCCCGGTGAATGGGTTTCGGGGTGGCTGAGGAAGCCTGCCAAAAAAGGCAGAGTGAAAAGGCCAGGCCCCGTGTGGCGCGGTGCGCCGTTTCCATGGTGACACCAGCTGCCGCCTGCGCTGGGCGCTGGCTGGCTCCTTCTGCGGGGCCTGGTCTGCCACCACATGGCTACCCAGCTCGGTGAGGAGGAAAAATCTGACCGGTCGCCTGGGCCCCGCGTGTCAGCGGCAGTGCTCGAGGCGCTGCGCAGCGCTCTGCCGGGGAGGCGGGGCCCCGGGGGCCGCTGGGAGCACAAGACTCTTCCAGGCCTGCGTGGAGGGAGGGGCCACACAGGGGGACGCGGGGATGAGACAGACTCTCGACTCTCTCGGAGGCCTGTGGGCCTTTGGTGGGAAATGGCAGGGCCAGATGTGTTTGTTAAACATGGCTGTGCTTCTAGAGGGTCGCCTGAGGGTTGGATGAGGCGATAGGACCCAGAGGCTGGGGGTGGGGGTGGGGGTGGGTGGGAGGCTTTGCAGCGATCCAGGAGAAAGACAAAGGCCTGACGGAGGTAGGCTGGAGATCCGAGCTATTTAAGAGATAGAAGTGACTACATCTGGTGCTTGGGTGCAAGAAAGCTGATGAAGTAGAGGCTTCTAGAACATCTATCTCCCAGGGCAGCAGGGGGCTGGGGCTGTGCTCCCCAAAGCAGGAAACAGGGACAGGAACCGTCTGAGATGGGGGCTGTCTTGTACCATCACTGCTAGCTGCTCCCCACCCCGGAGCCTACCAAGGACTTGGATCATGGTGGGGAAGCCCAGGTTTGATGAATGAATAAGTGAAAGAGGGAGAGAGATGCGCTCCACCCAAGTGTACACTGGGTCTCTGGATGCAAACCACCCCTGGAGGCGGGAGCCAAGACAAGCCTGCACTTGGCCTCTCACACCAGACACACGCCTTGTGGAAGGAACTTTGTCACCTAAATGTGTGTGATTGCTTTTGTTATTTTTGGTCATCTCGGCATCCAAATCAGGTATCACAAGTTTATTGCAGTTCTATTTGGTTTTAAATAAGCTCTGCACCCAATGCGGGGCTCGAACTCACGACCTTGAGATCAGGAGGTGCACGCTCTACCAACTGAGCCAACCAGACGTGCCAGTTGTATTTGGTTTTACTCACTGCAGAGGTTTTTGTTGTTGCTGTTTTGTTTGTTTTTAAAATTTTTTTTTAATGTTTTATTTATTTCTAGGAGAGAGAGAGAGAGAGACAGCGTGAGCAGGGGAGGGTCAGAGAGAAGGAGTCACAGACTGAAACAGGCTCCAGGCTCTGAGCTGGCAGTCAGCACAGAGACCGACGCGGGGCTCGAACCCACGAACCGCGAGATCATGACCTAAGCGAAAGTCAGACGCTCAACCGACTAAGCCACCCAGGTGCCCCTGTTTTGTTTGTTTTTGCTGTGAAATATTTTTCGTTGTTGTCTTTTTAATATAATTTATTGTCACGTTGGCTAACATACATGTATACAATGAGCTCTTGGTTTTGGGGGTAGATTCTCGTGATCCCTTACATACAACACCCAATGCTCCTCCCAACAAGGGCCCTCCCCAGTGCCTACCACCCATTTTCCCCTCTCCCTCATGCTCACCCCCGTCTACCCTCAGTTTGTTCTCTGTATTTAAGAGTTGTTTTTGTTTTTTTACAAGCTGTGTCAGGGGGGAGCCCTGTTTCCTGAGCCCTAACACGTGTTTACCTGGGAAGGGGTTGGTTTGTAGGCACCCCCTCGTTTTAAGTAAGCAGATCCAGTGGGTCGATATTTAACAGAGCGCCCAGCAGTGCTGCCTCATGCTCTGGGAAAGTCTCCACTTCTCTCCTTCATGCACGTGCGCCGTGAGGCTGAGGCTGCGGGCGCTTCTAAAGGTTCAGCAGACAAGGAGCTTCACAGGGACACAGCTGCGTGTCATTTTTAAGGGGAACTAGCTGGCCAAGGGCACACTTTATTTGATCCCTAACACCTGCTCTTGCCTTCTACCCAGAACGTCATGATACTTGGTGATAACCGAGCTAACTCACACTCTCCTCCCAAGACCCAGTTTTAGGTTTTCCCGAGCCCTCGCCGCCATCTGTCATTGTTTTATTTACTTGTTTATAATCAAATGTCAAGGGGTGCCTGGGTGGCTCAGTTGCTAAGCCTCCGACTCTCAGTTTTATGAGTTCGAGCTCCACTTAGGGCTCCATGCTGACAGTCTGGAGACTGCTTGGGATTCTCTCTCTCTCTCTCTCTCTCTCTCTCTCTCTCTCTCTCTCTCTCTCTCTCTCTCTCTCTCTCTCTCTCTCCCTCTCTCTCTCTCTCTCTCTCTCTCTCTCTGCCTCTCCCCGGCTCATGCTGTCTCCATCTGTCTCAAAATAAATAAATAAACTTAAAAATAATCAAATGTTGGTTGTGGGAGTGTAAGGTCCTTAAAGAAGGGACTTTGATATAGCTCACTGAGGTCTCTGTTCCCAGAGCACTTTCTGGCTGTCAGGAGGCACTCAGATTTTGCTAAAGGAGTTAATAAGTGGATGAATGAATGGATAAGCCATGAAAACAGGCCAGTTTTTCTTTCTTTTTAAAATCCTTTTAGTATATATGCTGCCGAAGCGAGCACTCTTTTTTTAATTTTTAATTTTTGCGAAAGAGAGTTCGCGCGCATAAGCTGGAGAGGGGCAGAGGGGGAGAGAGAGAGAATCTTAAGCAGGCTTCACTCTCAGCGCAGACCCCAACGGGGGTTGAGGGGGGCAACCCTGGGATCATGACTTGATCGTGACACTCAACTGACTGAGCCACCCAGGTGCCCCCAGCCAGTTTTTCTTACGCATTCCTCCTCTGATGAGGCTCAGGAGGCCATTGAGCGGCTGTTATGTCCGTCTTGCTGTTTCCAAGGAGAGCTGGATTCCAAATACCCCTGGAGACTGGGCAAGGGCAACAGTGTTATTTATTACTCAACAAATATTCTCTGTGTGCCTACAGGTGCGGGGCCCCACGTGGGATGCAGCAGGGGCGGCAGTGGGCAAGAGGAACAGGGTTCATATTCTCACGGAGCTTACATGTTGGTGTGGTAGACAGACAATCATATAAATGAAAGAGTGAATGAGTGAATATGTTGTTAAGCATTTAGATGGAATGGAAAAAGGCCTATAGCAGAGGGTGAAAAAGGGAATCTGATTTAGATAGGGCAGTCAGGGGAGGTCTTCCTGAGAAGATGACACTCCAGCTGAGACCTGAGGGCCGAGAAAGAGCCAGGCATGTGAAGAGCTAATGGAATGTTGTTGTGGGGAGTGGGACCAGCAAGTGCAAAGGCCCGGAGGCAGGAAAAAGTTGACCTGCTTCTGGAAGGCCAGTGGTCAGGGAGGTGTTTGCAGAACCTGGTGTCGAAGGGCCTTATAGCCCATGGCAAGTTATCTGAAGAGCACTGACAAGCGCTGGTAGGTTGTCACATGTGAATGACTGGATGTGACCTGTGGTCTGGCTTTTAGGTGGAGAAGGCATTGGGGGTGGGGTGGAGAGCCCCATCCTCCAGGGGAGGGTGGTGGCCATAAGGGTGGAGAAAAGTGAGTAGAAATGACTCGTGGCTGGGATTGGGTGGAGAGGATTGTTCCTGAAGGGCTGAGGGTAGGGAATGGGACACGTCTCCCGGGCCCCAGGCTTCTGGTCTGAGCGATCCAAGAAACCTGGTGAACAATGCAATGCCCAGAATGCAAGGTCACAGAAAGACCTTGTGTTTGCTGGACATGTGAGAACCTTTCCTGCAGAGTCCAAACAGGCTGGGCAGTAGGAGGTTTTGCTCCTGCTGATTGAATAAAGAGCCCCTGTGTGAAGGGCACCTGGCTTGTGGGTGTCTTTGAGACATGGTGTCACGACAGCAGAGCTTGGGGAGTGTCGTTATCAAACAGTGCGGTGTGGTTTGGGACCGTCTAATTCTTCCTGTGGCTGTCCCTCCAGTTCTCACACTTGACAGCATGCCTGGACCCAAATGTCTAGACATAGTATTCTATTTTTGCAAGGCCTTCCTGGGGAAAGGGCGTAACTTAAAGGGCAGATGACGAGAAGCACAGGGACAGTGAGCCTAGCTCAACACGACGAGGGAGAGCTTGCTAATAATCAGAGCTTTCTCACAGGGATGAGCCTCTCATCACTAGATGTATTCAAGGCTGGCAGGATACTGGGGCATCCCCAACTGGGGAGCCAGTCACCAAGGAGACCCAACCCCTACAGTTGTGAACACCTCTTTCCTCCAGCATCCCTGCATCTCAGGAGATCAGCAGCTGCCGCCCAGGACCTGCAAAAACCACCCCTCTGCTGGCCAGCTCAGCAGCTCAGTCACAGCTAAGTCTGCCCTGTTTGCTCTGGGCTGAACCGGCTGTGTTTCCTCCCCGCCCTTGGCCGGCAGGAGGGCAAACCCCAGCATGGGTGGGGCCATAGGGCCGTGTTGATGCTGTGCAAGCCTGTCCCGGGCCTCCCGGCTTTTCAAGAAAGGGCAAACTCCGGAGCCAGGCATGGGCCCCTCAAACTCCTCCACTTACCAGCTAGACTCCTACAGGGACACCCTAAGGGCGTCATGGGGGTGAGGAGGAGGTTTTCCTTGACCAAGCCATCTGGGCAACTCTGGGCCCCACCCCTGTTCCACCGGTGCCCCCCAGAAGAGCAGTGTGCAAGGGGATGGAAAGAACGCCCCTAAAGTCCCGGGGTTGGGGGCAGCAGCTCCGCTGCCTGGTCCCAGCTGCAGGCGGGCAGGGAGCTAACACTTCAGGCAGGACTGTTTTGTCGCTGCAGTGGGTACCCCTGAGCTTCGAGAAGGGAAAGGGGGAACTGGTCAGCAGCTCAGGAGAGGAAGGACCCGCCCCTGTGGAAGCAGCCTCAGGCCACCGGCCACCATCACTATCTCCCGATGCCTAGTTCTTTGTTCCCTATCTGGAAATCAGGGATCCCCCAATCCCTACTCTCTGTGAGGAGGGAGTGAAATGACGGACAGCACAAGTCTAGTCCCGTCCTGGCACCTAGGAGTGCTTGATGGTGAGTTTTCTCTGGAATTTTCTTTTTCCTCCATGTTCCCCCCTCCCTTATCATCTATGGGAGTAGAATTGCTCACCAAGGTGGGGAGAGGTGCGCTTGTAGGGAGAGAAGATCCTTCGCAGTCTGAAGGAGCCCTGCCTTTGCGGATAGGGCTGCAAAGGTGTATTCAGTCCAAAATAACAATAGAGGGGAGCGCCTGGGTGGCTCAGTCTGTTAAGTGTCGGACTTCAGCTCAGGTCATGATCTCACAGTCCGTGGGTTCGAGCCCTGCATTGGGCTCTGTGCTGACAGCTCAGATAAAGGAGTTAATAAGCAGATAGCAGATTAGCATTCCAGATTGGAAGCTCAGGTGGGAGGGGGGTGGCACCCAGCTGGGGGAGGGGAGGAGGGAGGAGGAGGGCTGGGGGGCAGCTAGCTCCTCCAGCCAGCTGACCTTGTTATTTTTAGCTCTGGAATGCTCCCCTCGAGCCCCCTTCAGTGCTGTTTATCTTGCTTTTATATCCCTGCCCCTCTCCCGGAGGCTCTGCCGCTGGAGTGGGTGGGGGAGGAGATTAGGGGTGCCAGAGAAGGAGTAGGAATCCACTAGGGCTAGGCCTGGGGAGCAGCGGGAGCTGCTCCTTCCCCACCCCCCACCCCCACATCCAAGCTGCTTTTTCCTCCTTTCAGCCTGTCCTGGGTTTGGGGCCACCAGGTTAGCCCTCCCCCCTCTCCAGCACATCTGCTAAGACCTCACCGTGCTTGTCAGACCCCCAGCCCAGGCCATGGACATCCCCGACCTCTCCCTGTCCTGTCTTACCGCTCCCCACCCCCCAGGTCAGGTCATCCCCAGGGTGGGGTGGGCAGGAAGGGCCGGCCCTCGGACCCGACCCCTGACTCAGGACACACTGTGGGTGCCTTGGAGGATCTCCTACGTGACAATGAACAGGAGCTGCAGCCCCTCTGTGAGGAAACTGTTGTTAGGACTGATGAGATGGTGAATCTGCGGATGTTGGGTAACCGGGAGCCAGGGCTGTCCGGCCAGGCCAGGCCAGTCATATCCTAGAGGGCTGCTCGTGGGCCATGAGTGTCCTAGAGTCTGTTGAGCAGCAACAGGAGAAAGCCCCTCCCCTCCCCACGCCCACCCTTGTCACTGGTGCTGAAGTTCTTTTTTTTCTTTTAATAAATATAGGAGTGCGTGTATCCCTTTGAGTTAGCGTTTTTGCATTTTTTTAAGTTTAATTTTTTTAGTACTCTCCATACCCAACTTGGGGCTTGAACTCACAATCCTGAGATCAACAGTCAGATGGTCTTCTGACTGAACCTGCCAGGTGCCTGCTGAAAGCTCCGGTTACAGGGGTGTGTCACTCACTGAACCCTCTCCCTCCTCCCTGAAACGCAGGATGGATGCTGGGAATGAAGGACAGTTTTGGTGCAAGGCCAGCCTCCTGGCTGCCTGAGGATGGGCGCTTCCAGAGTACACTCCCCCTGTGAGGCCCCAACCACAGACCCCAGAAGGAAGGGTCAGCAGAGGGGAGGGGGGAGCAGAGGCAGCTGGAGGCAGGGAGGTACAATCCTGAGGTTACCATGATGATTTCCTAGCAGGTTGGGCTACCTGCCTCTTCTGGTCCTTTCCTTTAAGCCTTCCGTAGAAAGCCTTTATTCCTCCCTCCTTTTCCTGTAGGAAAAGCAGTCAGCCCTGTGAGGGGCCCGGGATGGCTTGGAGCCAGAAATCCGGGAGAGGCGCCTAGGGGGTCAGCGGTGTAGCCTGGAGCAACCCCAGCCCTGAAGGAGCTGCAAGAGCATTGTGGCCACTGGCGCTGTCAGTGAGTCGGTCAACAGCTGTCTGTGCTCTGGGCCTAGTGGTAGTCTTGGAAAACCATGTGCCAACGTGCAGGTGGCCTGCCCAGGGGATGGTCCTGCGTGAAGGCGAGGGAGGGGGGTGCCCATCACCTGGGCCCACCCCCGTTCTCCCCCGACGCATGGGACGAATGCCACATAGAGGTGGGGAAGAGGCGGCAGCTGTCATATCCCAGGAAAGGCGCTGACCTTTAGAATCAGAGACAGAAATAGCCCAAGAGAGGACAGATCTGTGTGGGAGAGCCATCCAGGCTGGGCAGGGGCGGCCCGAACAGGAGGAAGGGAAGGGAGTCGTACCAGCACCTACCGCGCCGGACACTCTGCCAAGCATGTCATGTGCTTTCTCTCGATAATATCTCACCTCCCCGTCGATAGGGTAGACATCACCATTACCGTTTCGCAGATGAGGAAACTGAGGCTCAGAGAGGCATGGCTAAGCTTCTAACAGGCAGAGTTGGGACTGCTCCGGGCCCAGCTGGTCTGACAGTCCATGACCTCACGTCGCCTGCAGGGCATCCCCGTGCTGATTACCGCTGCCATCATGGGGTGAGGCGGGGCTGTCCCCCGCACCTGTCATCACAGTTGGCCCCGTGTGGGCCTAGGGGCCTCGAAAGGTGAACATCCACTCCTTCTGTTTGTTAAATGATCCCAGAGCCCCTGCACCTTGGCAGCGTGTGACCAACTTCCCTTCTCTACCTTACAGAGAGAGCGGCTTTCCTGCTACTTCCCCCAGATCGTGCTGGATTCAGGGCTGGGCAGAGTCCCCAGGAGACCCTTTCCCAGAGGCAGTGGCCAGGACAAGCTTGGGGGAAAGGCCCTAGCTCAAGCTGAAGTCTGGGAAGGTGAGAATGAGAGGCTCAAAATAACAGCCTACTGGCTGGCTGGCTCCTCACCGCCCTCCCCACCACCAGCTTCCAGCCTCGCCAGCTCCCAGCTGTTTTTGCTTATCTGAAGCCAGGGAGGCTGGTTGCCCGGATACCAGTGCTTCTGATTAGCAGTTGGGTCCTTCTGGGGCGGGCGGAGCTGCTGCATCCCCGAACCAGCTGGGTGTGGTGTGCCCAGGCCCTCCTGAACAGACCCTTGGAAAAGTGGCAAGGGAGGAATGGGGTGGGGGGGTGCTAGAGAGCATGCTTACAAAGAGACTCCCCTCTGCCCTTGCTAGGAGTTGCCTCAAACGGGTGCTGTAGAATCTGGGCCCTGCTACTTGCTGGCTGTGTGACTTTGGCTCACATGAACTGCTCTGAGCTAGCTTGCTTGCTTGCTTGCTTTCTTTCTTTCTTTCATTATTTTATTTATTTATTTTGAGAGAGAGAGAGTGAGAAAGAGTGTGTGCAAGTTGGGGAGGGGCAGAGAGAGTGGGGAGAGAATCCCAAGCAGGTTTCTCACTATCAGCACAGAGCCTATTGCAGGGCTCGAACTCAGGAACCGAGAGATCATGACCTGAGATGAAATCAAGAGGCAGGATGCTTAACGGACTGAGCCGCCCAGTCGTCCTGAGCCTGTTTCTTTATCTGTGAAGGGGGACATGCATCCCCTGCCTGAAAGAATTGTTTAGGAGTAAATGGTGTAATTAGGTGAGTGGTCAGGGCACAGTTCGGAGGTGGTCTCAGCCTCCTGCCCCTAGACACTGCAGTGGGGTCCCTCTGGCCCTGCTGCCTGTGTGTCCTCTGGAGAGGCTGTGAGGTCAGGGAGGCAGGCACCTGGGGAGCCTCAGAGGGAGGGAGGTGGCACCAGCCCTGCCCAGCTCACCTGGTGCCCCCCCCCCCCGCCACCGGTGCTTAGCTGGGCATGGGGAAGACTGGACAAGATGCCCAGGGAGGGTGGAACACAGCCGTGCCCTGCGAGCAGCCCTGGAGGGGGGCGGGTGGGCGAGAACAACATTGCCTGGGGGCTGGACAATGACCAAGAGGGCATGTTCTTCTGATCTCCTCACGAGCAGTGGTCCCAGGGAAACTTCTTCACTTGAAAGACAGACGTGAGGGCTGTGAGCAGGTTGGGAGAAACTGAGGCCACTCTGCGGACAAGGGCTTTCCCCGGGTCATGTCTCAGGTGTCTGGCAGCCCTGTGCAGGGCCAGGCCCGTGGAGCCGGCAGTGGCTCTGGATGAGAAGCAGTAGATGACTGAAGGATGCCAGTGACCCCAGAGGCGTACGGGGCCATCATAACCCTCTCCTTGACCTTCTTGACTTAAGAGGGCAGAGGAGAAAAGGAAGAGTGGGAGGGGCAGGGAGGGACAGTATTTCACCAAGGCCTTTACTTTTTCACTCTCTGAATGGAGCATGAGATCAGCCTGTGCCTGTCGTGGTGAAGCCCATGAATAATGCAGGGAGGAGCACAGGGCAGCTAGAAAATGGTTAGTTTCATTAAAGCAGTGAATGGGCCCGGAATACAAAATGGAAGGGAGGCTGGGGGCTGGGGCGAGAAAGGAGGGGCTGGGGCTGACCTTAGGGCTCCAGACTGAGGGACCCGAGACCCTCAGCTGGGCCCAGTTCCTGTCCTGGGCCTCCCCATGGCATCCGCACCTGCCCTGGCACGTAGAGCAGGCCAATTGCCGGGCACTGCCCCAGGCCAGCCTTCCCGTTGGTTAGGGCCCGTCACTACCTCCCAGAGGAGCCGGTGCTGGCCAGTGCACAGAAGGAAGACTTGGGGATGAACTTGGGGTGTTCTTAAGAGTCAAAAAGAAGAAATAAGTCCCATCAGAAAAGACTTACAGTGAGTGTAGCTGGAAAGGTACCCACCTCCTCAGGCACACAACCGTCTTGCCCAGGATGCCTCAAGGTTACACCTCTGGACATTAAAAAGAATGTTTATTTATTTATCTTGAAGGAGAGGGGCAGGGAGAGAGAACGTCGATCTCAATCTTACGAACTGTGAGATAGTGACCCGAGCAGAAATCAAGAGCCAGATGCTCACCTAGGCACCTGAGCCACCCAGGCGTCCCTCTGGACATTTTTTTCCCCCCAACTGCAGTGAGAGCCTATGGAGGATTTTTACAGGATAGAGACAGAATCAAATTTGAGTGAGCAAATTTACTCAGGCTAGTAGGTAGAGACTGCAGAGTTGGCCAGAGAAAATGGGAACATGGGTAATACTGCGTTGTGGATTGTTATGTGAGAGCCCACAGCCACGTATTCTATGCTCGCTTCTGTTTCCGGACTTGGGGGTTGCCCTGTGATTTGGAAAGAGGGACGCCATGGGCAGGTGAAGGGACCCTCAGAGCGGTCCAGTGCAGAGGCTGGTGTGGCAGAGGGCCTGGGTTGCAGCTGATGGCGGGAGCGGAGGTCCCTAGGGCACGCTGACCCCTCGGTGACCGGCTCAATGGCAGTGGGTGAGAGAGACATCAAAGGAGACTGCCTGCCTTCTGACCTGGAAAACTGGGGCTGGGTGGCCGGGGCTGCCATTTATCCAGAAGGGAAGCCCTGAGGCTTTGGAGTCAGAGATGGAGGGAAGACCCTGCATTTGAGACTCTTGGTCATTTGGCAGTTGGAAAATGGGTCAAGAGATTGAGGCTGGGCCTTGCTGCTGGGCGCTGTGAGTATGGGCAGGCCTGCTCCCTCCTCCCCTGCCCTCAAGGACGAGGAGGATGGTCCTTCCAACTGGGACCTGGGGCTTTGGGTAGTTCTGTGACCCAGCACAGACTCCCTGCCGGAGGGCACCCTCCGCTGCCACCCTTGTTCCCCTTCTCTCTGCCTGCAGACAGGCCCCGGAGCAGCCCTGAGATGTCTTTCCCATGGGCAACACCCCAGGAGAAAGGCTTCCATTTTTTCCTCTGCCAGCAGAAAGCCCCAAGGGGCTCGAGCGCCCTGGCAAGCACCAAGGGGGGCCCTGGGATGTCATCCTGCGGTGCTGGGGGTTGAGCGCAAGCCTGCTCCCATTTATGCTCTCTGTTGCCTCCCAGCTCCCCGAGGGGCTCCTGGGTTCTCTCCTGCTGCACCCAAATCCACCCCCACCCCCCTGTGCCACAGACCGATTTCCCATAAACACGACCCCAAGCATGTGTACGCAGATAATCCAATTACAGGCAGTCCAGGGAGAAGACAGCCCTGTGAGGCCCCAGCAGGGGAAGAAAGGAAACAAGTTCAGCTGAGACTGGGGGACAAGGGAGGCTGTTCAAAGAGGCCCAGAATGCCGGGGAAGGCTCCAGGACAGCTGGAAGTCAGAGAGGAAGTGGCAGTGGGGCTGGCAGGGGACGGAGGGTCCCAGGGTCGAATGGAAAATAGAGGAATGCAATCAGCGGAGTCTCCTCGGCAGGGTCTGCGAAATACGGTTATCGCTTATTCCCACATGCTCCATCTGTGCGCTGCAGGGACGGCTCCGCCGAGGCAGAGAAGGACACAGTCCCGGTCCTGGAGAAGCTCAGGAGACAGGGCAGGGCTTCAGAAGACAGAACCTTAACCCGCGCTAGAAGGTGGGGTGGGGGCAGCCTCCTGGACGTGGTAGACACAGCTGACGCCATCCAGAGGGAGAAGCAGCGGATGCTGGGGGGAGGGGGAGCCCTTGTGGAAGGGCCCAGAGGCAGGAAAGAGCCGCGGTTAGGTCACAGCGTGGCTTGAGCGAGGCTTGTGTGTTTGTGTGTGCGTACCTGTGTGTGCACCGGTGGGTAAGAGCCACCTTGCTAAAGGTCTTGTGTTCTCTGCTGAGAATTTTGTACCTTGAGTGCAGTGGGCCGCGTTTAGGTGACAGGGTAAGATCTGTCTGTGTTTTGAGGACAGACAAGGTGCCAGAGGCTGAGCCGACAGCTGCTGGTTAGGAAGCCGATCTAGCTAACAGTCGTTGCTTGAAAGAAAGGATGAAGTCTGTAAATGCCACCTAACACTTCTGCAGCCACGTCTGTTCCCTGCATGCATCTCTCTTTACAAAGAGCAACGCGCTCTGTCACCACCGCGATCCTTTTCCGTCGATTACTACTATCCCCACTTTGCAGGCCAGGCAACTGGGGCCCGGAGGGGATGAAGTGACTTTCTCAGGCTCCCACGTCCACGCCGGGAAGCCGCGGCTCGGTCCGGCCCAAGGCTGCGCTGGACGGAAAGGCTCTAGCTGTCCAGGTGGCGAAGATGTGACAGACTGGCGGGATGTCCCCGGTGAAGAGTCTGGCTCACTGACTGAGCCAGGAAAGCTTCTTGGGGGCGGGAGCTGGGAATAAAGGAGAGGGTGAGGGCGTATACTGGGAGAAATAGCACCCTCCCCGAATTCATATGCACCAGGAACCTGTGAATGTGACCTTATTTGGAAATAGGGTCTTTGCAAATGTAATCAAGTTAAGATGAGGTCATACTGGAGTCCAAAGACAATATATCCTTATAAGAAGAGGGAAATATGGACACAGGCACAAAGAGACACGCAGGGGGAGCCCATGTGCCGGTGGAGGCAGAAATCCGAGTCATTGGTCTACGCACTAAGGAGGGGCCGGGGATGCGAGCAAACATCAGAAGCTTTAAGGGGACAGGGAAGGATCCTGCCCTTGAGCCTTCAGGAGGAGCATGGCCCTGCTGACACCTTGAGTTTGGATGTCTCACCTCCAGAACCATGAGAGAAGAAATGTCCAATGCGTTAGGCACCCCAGCTTGTGGTAATTTGTTACGGCAGCCTGAGGATACTAATACACTCTCCCCACTTGAAAGAAATGGAGACTCAGAGAGGAAGTCGGTGGCGTTGGCGCATCTAACTCGGTCAGGTAAACCTTCAAAACAGGGAGGAATGAGGCAGGTGCGATCCTATAGGGGAGCCTGAAAAGAATGTCAAGCTGTTCTGGGACGCCCTGGAAAATGAGAGTCTCTGTGTGATCATGAAAGGTCTTGATGAGAAGAAGAAGGGGAGGAGCCTACGAGATGAAGTGCGTCCCAGCAGAGCTGGGAGATGAGCTCAGACTGGAGAAGGACACGTTCAAAGCTGGAGGAAGGGCACAGAACCAAGGGCAAGAATAAAGGAGCCACAGCGACTGCGAGAACAGAGCTCCGCCTGCTGCATCCCACATGGGGCTCAGGCTTGCAGAAAGGGCCACCAGCAAAACACTTTTTTTTGGAAAGTGATGGTGGGGGGAGGGAAAGTAGGGAGTTCTTTAGAATCAGCTTTTTAGAATCACCCATGGGGTGAGGGCTAATTTAGCATTCATGGATGATAGATATACCCAGATGTTATTTGTCACCGATCTTCTCTATAAAGATAATGGAGTGGGAGACACATTTTTTTTTTTTAAGTGGAAAGGATAGCACGAATATTGGCAAGAGGGAACCGAAACCCAAGACTGGGGAGATGAGATATCTGTAAGGGGATGAGATCCCTGTCACAGGAGGCATTTAAGCAGAGAGTGGAGGAACCTCTCCTCAGGGTGTGTTGTAGAGATGACTTCCCTGAGACTTTTTAGTGCACACAATCCAGTACTCACGGCCAGGCTTCCTGACCTCTGGATCTCCCACCACATTCAGTGTCCTGGAGGCGTTCTTGCTTTGCGCTGGTGTGGAGGCTGCAGAAAGACAGCATCACTTCAGTGCTAGGTGCTGTTGGGCCCATCAGAAGCTTGTCATGTGGTGCTTTCCTTTCTGCGAAAGTCTCCTGGCGTCGGAAATGCAACTACTTTTTCAGCTTTATTTTTATTACCAGGCACTGACGGCAACACCCTATCACCAGTCTCCTGTCCCTCCCCCATGTCGTGCCCACCTCCCCATCTCTGCCCCCCCATCTTTGACCTTCAGTGCTTCCCTGTCTGTTCACAGAGGGGCACAGAGGAGTAAGGCAAGGCCGTCTGGTTGGTGGTGGTGGCCAGGCGGACAGCCGGCTCCCTCTTTCTCCCGCTTTCCCTTCCTCCTCGGCCTCTCTTTGTTCTCCTTCTGTCCCTCTTTCTGCCTCGCCTCTCTGTCCTCTGTCTGTCCCTCAAATGGAGGGACGATGGAACGTTAGCATGACCCTTCAGGCACCCCTGCACCCACCCCTACAATCCGAGAGGCTGATTTCCGGATTTCTGAGGTGGCTGGGTCTGCCCCTGTGCTTTGGCTGTAGGTCGGTGGGAGGAAACAGGGAAGTGTGCCCTTGGCTGAGGACAAGAATCTGCATGGTGTTTTCTTTGACCTTGAGAATGCCTTCTGCCCACCCTGTCCTCAGGAAACAGGGAGCTGAAATTTGCCCCTTTGGGCAAATCAGCATATGCGGCTCTCACGATTCCCCACTATGATTGAGCCAAATGTCTAGGCGGAGGCCTGAGAGACAGGGTGGGGGTGGGCCAGGGGGTGCCAGCACCCACTTCCTCCGGGACTGGCCTCTTAACATCACTGTCATCTCGGTATATGCAGATGACAAGAGTCTCCCTCTCAACGGCCCTTACCTGGCCTGACAGCTTTTCTCTCCTGCTCTGACTTAAGATCCCTGGTGCCTTTCTCATGCCAAGTTGAGAGTCGACCTCACCCCTCTGGGCCTGGCACGTGACATGAGAGACAGAGCAGAGAGTTGGCCCGCTCCGGCTTTTAGGGGGAGAGTTGCCTCTGGTTCGTTCCGCAATCTGGCCTCTTTCAAATTCCCTTCCCTTCATCCTCTCTCTCAGATCAAACAAATACACCTGTTGTTTATTCTTTTTATACATTTAATACATGTTTGCTGAAGAAAAGAAGCAAAAGCCTATAATAAGAATCACCACCTAAAAAACGATCACCGCGAACATTTTGGTGTGTACTATTTTTTTCCTTCTCCCCTCAGACACTGAAGACTCGTCAGTGACAAGACAGGCAGGGCTCCCAAGGGCACACTTCTGTTTCCTTCCCCCCACCTACAGCCAACACGCAGCGGGTGGGTGGCAGACCCAGGCGGCTCAGAAATCCGGAAATCCGAGCGTCTTGGATTGTGGGGGTACAGGGACCTGAGGGGTCGTGCTAACATTGTCATCATCCCTCTGTTTGAGGGACGGACAGAAGATGGGGAGGCAAGGGCTCACCGTGGCTCATGCTATCATGTCCATGGGAAAAAATGATACATCATCATTGGAACGTCTACTGACAAGATATAACTCTCCATTGGCTCCCTCTCCCCTCTGTCTCCATCTCTGGCCATTGATTTCCTCCCCAAGAATTCTTACTTTTCTTTTGCATGTATTTTCTGTGGCAGACACAGCCCTCGTAGGCAACATGAAGGTGCTGGACACATGTCTGGGGCGGGCTTTGTGCTGGCCAGGCACGAAGGCAGCCCCCATTGATGCCAGAGGCAGGATTCCTGTGGGTCCCTGTCCAGAGCGCTGAAGTCGGCTTGTGCCCCACGCCCTGTACCAGAAACACCGCATCTCAGTGTATGGAAGGAAGGGCCTCTGCAGACGTGCCCCCTGGCCAGTCACAGGCGTCGGTCCACACAGCTACTACCTTGCTGGGGCCAGGACCCGGGTGCTCCCACAGCGCTGGGGCCACTCATTGTCCTGTCGTGCGTGGCAAGTGGTGTGAAGGAGAAGGAGGGGGTAGTGAAGTGATGAGGAAGGAAGGGAAAGTGAGAGAGGAGGATGGGAGGGAGGGGAGGAGAACCAGCCTCGTTTCCATAGCAACCACACATGTGAGCCAGCTGCTGTTGCCATGGAAACAAGGAGAGCCTGCTCAAAGGCTGTGCTGTCTCAGGGGAGACACAATTTTTGACAAAAAATACCCTTTGATAAAAATAAAGAAAAAATAATGAAAGCCACCCTCTGTGGGACTGGGGGCACTGCCGAGTGAGGTGACAAAGGGAAGGAGGGGGCTGGGCTGTGGGGGAGGAGGCTCGGCGGCCAGGCGCTTCTGCCTGCTGCAGAGAATTGCCGAGTCAGTGCTTTAGAGCCAAGGGCGCCTCCAGAATCACCCCACTTGATGGATGAGGAAGGGAGGCTTTGGGAGGGAGGTGGGCTGCTCACTCAAGGTCCCAGGGCAGGAGGAAGCAGCCTAGGGACACCCGGGAGCTCTTGGGACAAGGCAAGGGACACACCTTTTCTGTGGGGTGGCTGAGCAAAGCCTGTGGGTTCTTCACTAGCTGTGCAGGGAAGAGCGAGGTGAGGGCCAGGCGCAAGCCCATTTAGCTGGGGTTCCTGTGTGAGTTGCGGGGGCCTCACCTCTCTCTTCTCCTCCCTCTGCCCCACCCCTCTGCTAAGCTTGGCTTCAGAGGGTTTTGGCTCACTCTCAGGGGACCAAGATCAGATGAGCCCCCATCAGCAGGGCTGGAGAGAAATTGCCAGCTGGAGACCACGAGGGAGTGGCCCAGTGTAAAGACAGGAAAGGGGAGGAAAGAATGGGAAACACCCATTGAACGCCATGCTGTCTTATGTCTTTTCCAGGGAAAGCCCTGCGACCTGACATCGGTGCCTTGGAGGTGCGAACAAGTCAGTTCCCAGGGCCCTTGGTTCTAGATGAGGTATTTGGCCAGAAGCTGATGCTCTTGGTTGCGGCCTGGCTCAGGGGAGATCAGTTAAGACTCAGTTAGCAGCTTAACAGCTCAGGGTTTTGATAAACATGAGGGTTCTGTGCAGCATTGCTAGGGCCCCTGGCCAGAAAGGGGGGGGGGGCGGAAGGGGGCAAAGGGTGGGCTCTGAGTACCCTTGCATTTCACCAGAAGCATCTCCCTTTTTAACTCTTTGGTGTTTTTTTCCCCCTCTCACAAAGCATTTTCCCAAATGTGATCTAATATGCTCCCCTCTGGCTGAACCAAGATAGGGATGTGTCAGTCCTCATTGTAAAGATGAGGATGCAGTCTCGGGGTGGGGGGTGGCGGGGGGAGGCTGAGCCTCCCAGGTTATCGCAGATCACAGTGGCCAGAAGAGAATTCAAGCCCTAGCTCCAGAACAGAATGGCAACCCCGTTTCAAAGGAAGGGAAGAGGAGATACAACCAAAGGCAAGTTCCTGCTAAGAACTCCCTAGGCTTCTCCTTGAAGAGACCAGAGGCAGGATAGGATGCTGCCCTAGGGCTCATGGCCAAGGGCACATTGTGGGGAAGTGACCTTGCTGCCTTTTTGTCCTGGGGCTCCATCTCCTCTTTCCTTGGGAGCTGTATGAGGTCTCAGCCAGGGGCCTGGAGGAGGGAGTGGATGGCAGGAGGGTGGGACTCGGCCCTCACCTTCTAGAAGCACCTCGTGCCTCCTGTCAGCTGCCCTTCACCGCTCCCCACTTGAGCCTCTAAGGCAGAGACCACGTGGGTGAGTTGCCATGGAAACTGCGGAGTTCTACTTGAAAGCGGTGCCTGGTGTAATCCGAGATGGCTGGGGGGAGGGTGGGGGCTGGGACACCTAGGTGGGGCAGCTACACCTATTTGGCTAATGTCTCCCTTAGTTCACCTCCCCCCTGAGAGGAACCACCTGTTTCGCAGGCCTCACTGCCCTTCTTTCCTATAAGAGACCTGCCTCCCACCATCGTCATAGTGTCCGCGATCTCCACGCCGGTGTGGGATCTCAAGCAGTAGCCCTATGGGCCGTTTCCCGATTCCCCAGAGAAGGGGATGATTATCCCTGTTAGACAACAGAGGGTGGTGAAAACCAAGAGGGGCCATTTTTGCCATACAGGGGTCAGGACGTTAGCGCAGGGATTATCTGGATTATAGGGTGTGTGTGGGAAGGAGGGGGGACCTCCCTCGGGGACATGGTGCTCCAGAGATGGGAACCTGGACCTCACCCCTCTTCTCCCCACCAAGGCTCAGCAGCAAGCATTCAGGCAGGCTGACATAGGAAACAGGAAAGCTCCAAGTCTGACCTGGGGTTTGCAAGGTGGGTTTGCATGGGGCTCAATTAGAATTTCCCCTGTAGCCACAGCCAGGTCCTTGCCATTCTCCTGCCCTTGCCTGACCTAGGCACTATGCATGGTCTTGCCTTCTGTCACTCTTGCTATGGACCCCCTTCACCCTCCACACCAACTGATAGTAGAGGAGATAAGAATTTTGCTTTTCCACTTCGCTGTGTGACTTGGGCAAACTGCCTAGCTTTGCTGAGCCTCAACTGCTTCTTCCATGAAACAGGGATAAGAAAATAACTAACTGCCCCATAGGGTTGCTGGGGGGTTGAAAGCGACAATACATTCAAAGTGCTTAGTGCCTGTATCAACAAAAACAGAAATATGATGACTATCATTATCTATCCCTCAACACCCAGAAGAAGCCCCATCCCTTCCAGGAAGCCTCCCTTTCTCTAAAGAGGGAGGAACTAGGGCTTGGGAGCCGCCACCTAGCCAGGTACTCCCTGTGCACTATTTTTTACTGCGTTCTCTCAACAACCTTGGCAGGGAAGTGTTCTTCTTATTATCCCCATTCTATAGAGGTAGACTCTGAGGTGCAGTGACTGTCTTACTGAAGGTCATTGGCTAATAAGCCAATCCAGGGTCAAGATTCAAATTCACTCTATCTGGTTTCAAAGTCTATGCTTTGTTTCTTACCACAACATGCAACTCCTACATGGTACAATCCTGCCCCAGCGGCTTTCCTTCTGATTGAAAGCAGTTTATTATTGCTTCTGATTTCTTTCTTGCCTTTCTCACCTGGCCTCCCTACACCGGGGCAGAGAGTGAGGAGGTAAGCAGAACCACGGAGGGTCAGGATTCAGATGGTCCCTGCTACCCTGGGAGCTTAGGCAGTCATAGCCATGGGGGGCTGGAAGCAGGTGGCCTGGCATAGGAATTTCCAGGTAGGGAGCCAGCTCCAGTGTTGGTAGGGGTGGTTGTCTGGCCTCCAAAACAAACTCCCCAACTCATTCTGATTTTCTGCTTAGCTCTGACCTTGTTTTCTGGACTCCAGTCTGCCAGACTAGGGCTGGTGAGGGCTTGATAGATGACCTTGACCTGGCTTTGTCAGTCTGGGGACTTGAAGCATCTCCTTCAGGTGAAGAGGAGACAGAGGTGGGGGGAGGTGGAGGAGAAGGGGCGGAGGATGGAGAGACTTGAGCAAGGGAATGGAGGGGGGAGGGAAGGGCACTGGGGAGGGGAGGGAGGTGGGAGGGGAGACTGCCAAATGTGATTCTGAACTCTGAAGGAGAAGAAAGGATGAGAAAGCAAGAAATACGCTTCAAGGGCAGGATGAAAGTGGGAGGGAACTGAGGTTGGTGGGGGAATGAGAGAAAGGAGGAGGCCAAGAAAGTGAATGAGGGAGAGAGAGCAGGGGAGAGGAAATGAAAGGAGGGGAGAGGCTGAGGGAGAGAGAAAGAGGAACAAAGACTGAGCTGAACAGAGGCAGCTGCCCGTCCTCCCTCCCGCCAAGTGAAGGCCTCAGAGGGCCGCAGTGGCTGAATGAACTGGGAGCCAGCCATGACTCAATCTCCATGGCTCCTGCCCGCCAAATCCTTCCTGGCTCAGCAGTTTCCATGAGGAAGGGGGCACGTTCTTCCCCCTCCTCCCACCTTTCTCTGGTGCAGCATCTTCTCTGAGGTCCCATGAACCCCTTACCTTCACGGTCTTGGTGGCTGGTGCCTGCCCTCAGAGTCCCCCCCCAGATAGATGGTCCTGGACAACCTTTCTGGAACCTTCCAAAGAGGTGGAAACCAGCCGCTATGCTAGGAAGATGGAGTAAGGTGGGAGCAGGTGTGCGTGCTGCCCAGGGAAATTCCGCTCCTTTCACTGCTGAAGCCTGGCACCTTTCTAAGGAGGCCGGGCACAGGAATGGGTCCACCTTAATAAAAGAATGAAAATGTATTGACAGCTTAGCAGGAACTAAGCAGATTATATTTTATCCCACTCAATCCTCACAGCAACCTTGAGAGGTCCGTACTACTATTGTTTCCATTTTACAGAAAGGGAATCAGAGCTAAGGAGGCCCAGCTCACATAGCTACTAAGAGGAGGAGGGCCCGGACATCTAACTTCTGGGGACCTATGTCATGGTCCTGCTGGGGATGGAGGGGATGGGTACAGCATTAGTAGCTCTGGGGGCCCATAGAGAAGCTATTATCTGTGATGGTTTGGGCAGGTGTAAGAAGCCTCTGCCTCAGTTTCCCCATCTGGCATCACTATTGCCGTAGAAGGTGCCGGATGAGAATCTGATCAGAGGAGCCAGGACACAACTAGTGATGTACTCCTCAAGGGTGATGTCCATTTGCAGGAGGCAGACCTCGGCACCTGGAAAGAGAGTTGTGTAAATAGTGTTCCCCTGTCACCAGCCTCGTGAGCATCTCCAGGGAAGGTCAGATGGCTGCCCAGAAGTCCCTGCTTTCATGGGGCTCCTGTGAACCTCTTTCTAAAGTGCTTTTAGGGGCGCCTGGGTGGCTCAGTCTGTTAAGCATCCGACTTTGGCTTAGGTCATGATCTCATGGTTTGTGGGTTCAAGCC